CCCTGATTCCTTCTCCTCGTTCTTCTGATCTCTGGGGTCCCCAAGGAAGTTTTCCATATGACTTGGTTGGGAAGGGGAAGTAGCAGAGACTTCAAACCCAGCCCCATCCAGTGAGCACTGAGCAGCCACAGCCCTTTTCTCCATCTCCGCCTAGCCCTCCCTACCCCATCCCTTAGGGAGCTGCAGACAGAGGCAGCCTGTGTGGAATTTAACAAGGAGCAAAATGACAGCTGGGATCCCATCCCGGGGGAGGAGAAGAGGGCGTAAGCACGGAGGTGAGTCAGAGAACCCCAGCTCCAAAAGCCTCTCCCCTTTGCTGGGAGGCAGGGCGGAAGGGTGATGTGCCAGGGACAGCAGTAACAGTGGAGCACTTTGTGCTTTCAGAGCACTTTTGAGCATGCATGCGTTCCTCCATGTCCCTGGGACATGGGCAGGGTTGGTGCACTTGGCTGGTGCACTCGGCGGTGAGAAAACAGAGGTCTGTGGATGATGAGGGGAAAGGGGCTGGTATCTGTAGGGAGCCTACTCTGTGCCAGGCACGGTGCTGAGCGCCCAAGGTGCGTCACCTCGTTGGGCCTTCCCAACACCCCTGTGAAGGAGGGTTGCTATTAACCCCATCTCACAGGGAAAGCATAGGAGCCCTGGAGAAGCTAAGTGACCCACCCAAGATCACTCAGCAGGGGCAGCATCAGAGTTCAGACTCAGGTCCGCTGGGTCTACAGTTCGGTCTCCTTCTGTTTTGTTGGCAGTTTTCCTGGGGCTCCTGCAAGACTGTGTAGCCCCGCTATTGTCACTGTTACTGTGTGGGCTGCCTGCCTCCTGGCAGGGTTCCTCTTAGGGGCATCTGTGTGGCGCACTCCATCATAAGCCCCTGCAGGCAGAGTCATCTGCCTATTCGCATCCCATGGCAGCTACCCTTTAATAAGAAAACTTGCTCAGGGGCAATCATTTTACCATGCATTTTATATTATGCGTTATCTTCAAGCTTTATAACAGCAGGTGTTATTATTCCCATTTTATAGATGAAGAAACAGGTTCTGAGAAGTTGAGTGATTTGTCCAAGGGGTTACATTCACTAGGTGCACATGCTTGGTTCTAACCCAGCCTGTCTCCTCCAGAGTCCGTGCTCTTAACCCCTTGCACACAGAGGCAGATTCTCCAATTGGTTTGAAGTTCTGAACCTTGCCTGCCCAGCCCGACAGCCTTTCTTCCTCCAGCAGGGATGGGGATGCACACAGGTACACTGTGGAAGCCATAGGGTAGAGAGAAAAAGGACTTCCCTGGCTCAGGGCTTGGTGATGGCACCACCCCTACAGCGGTGGCATCCTACCTGAGTTGACATGGAAACTGACTCCCCCCTGGGTTGGGCTATTACTGTGATAGGTCAAGGCCTGCTGTGCCCAGAGGTGGCTGCCCACAGTTCAGGGGCGCTGAAGGACCTCAGAACCCCCAAATTATCTCCTAATTGGCTGCTTCTTGGTATTCCTCTATTAGCACTCCAGGCCTTTATCTTGAAACTCTCATCTGCATTAGTCAGCCCACCCCACTGTTTTGCCTTGGACCACCCTGGCAAAACTTTCTGTTGCTGCTTCTCTAATGTAGAAACCAGGGCTGACTTGTTTGTTCAATTATCTAGCAAGCTGCTTCTCGGCTTGGGGAAGAAAAGCTGGCTCGCTGCCCCCCTGTACTTTTTCCTTACCCCACCCCCCTTCCGATCTGACTTCCTCCACTTTCTTTTTACCTTTTTTTCTTTTTTAAAAAAAAGATGACTGGTAAGGGGATCTTAACCCTTGACTTGGTGGTGTCAGCACCAGGCTCTCCCAAGTGAGCTAACTGGCCATCCCTATATAGGGATCTGAACCCATGGCTTTGGTGTTATCAGCACCACACTCTCCCGAGTGAGCCGCAAGCCAGCCCTGACTTCCTCCACTTTCTTTTAACCTTTTTTTCTTTTCTAAAAAAAAGATGACTGGTAAGGGGATCTTAACCCTTGACTTGGTGGTGTCAGCACCAGGCTCTCCCAAGTGAGCTAACTGGCCATCCCTATATAGGGATCTGAACCCATGGCTTTGGTGTTATCAGCACCACACTCTCCCGAGTGAGCCGCAGGCCAGCCCTGACTTCCTCCACTTTCTCTGGTCCCCCATTTCCTCCTCAAGTGGAAACCCATACGTGCTTCAGAGCTCACCTCCGCAGCCTGAATTTGTCTGCACACTAGATTCCCTGCTGCATGGCCTCCATCCTCCCAACCCTTTTGGTTCCTGCTAACTTGTCCTGCTGTGTACAGGTTGGAGCTGTCTGAGTCACATCTGGGCAGCAGGCTTTGCCCAAGTGTGGCTGGTGGCCAACATCCTGCCCCTTGCCGGGGACAACCTGCAGAGGTATCCTCACCTGATGACAAATGTCTTCTCCTGTGCACCACTAGGTCAAGAATTTCATTGTGCAAATTCAAGGTCAGGGGCTGAAGCCCAAGGGAATGAGCTCAGGCCTCCCCAGAGCTCCTATCAGGAGCACTGGCATGCACCAGAGGGTGGTGGGAGGAGCCTCCGTGTCCTCTTTGTGGTCCAACAACAATCCTGGGACCTCAGCTGATTTGCTCTCTTTGCTGAAATCCCAGGCAGGAAAGGGGTGGAGCGGGTGGGAGGATGGGGAGGGGGCAAGTGTGGAGAGGGAGGATTGCTAATTCCCAAGGTTCCTGTTCTGGGAGAGGAGAGTGTAATGTAAAGCTTACACTATAAGACACCGTAAAACACCAACCATTTCCCAGACTTTGATCTGCAGGGTGTTAAAATACAGATTCTGAATCAGTAGGCCTGGGGCCGAGATTCTGCATTTCTTTTTTTTTTTTTTTTTTTTTTTTTTACAAATCATAATTATTCTCTATGCCCCTTGTCCAATCTCTCCTCATCCCCCTTCCTCCCCCCACCCCCCTCTAATCACCCTAGATTTCTTCTTTCCTTCTGAAAGAATAATGGTTATTCTGTTGATTTGCTGGCCAAATGATCTGTCCAATGCTGAGAGGCATGACTGGGTCCCCCAGTACTATCATAGAGCAGATGTCTCTTTCTTCCGTCACTATACAATGGGCCCTGTGGAGACAGACATCCTCCTCCTTTCTTTATCACTGCTGGTGACTCTTCTTGTGTCAACTTGCTCCAGTGGCTGGTGGACCATCTGCATGGTGGTTGTGGCATCTAGCTGCCTTTGCAACAGCCATGGTTATTGTGGCTGGGGTGGGCCACCCACATGGAGATGTTTTTGGCCTGCTACATGGTACAGGAAGTGTATCTGGTTGTGGAGAGTGTCCAATCCCTGGTTCCGTGCCCCAGGTCCCCAAGTGGGTCCCAAGGCACTGGCACGGTGTGCCTGGTTGTGGGAGGGGGGATCCAGTCCCTTTCTCTATGCCTCGGTTCCCAGGGTGGGCCCCAGGGTGCTGGCACAGTATGCCTGGTTGTGGGAGGGGGGTCTGGTCCCCTTCTCCATGCCTCAGGTCCCAGGGCAGGCCCTGAGGCACTGGCTGGTGTGTCTGATTGTAGGAGGGGGGTCCGGTACCCTTCTCCATACCCCTAGTCCCTGAGCAGGCCCTGAGGTGCTGAGATTCTGCATTTCTAACAAGTTTGCATTTCTAACAAGTTCCCAGGAGATATTGCAGCCAGGCCTGTGGTTCACATTTTGAATTGCAAAGATATTTCCCCCAAAGTCACTTGAGGCCTAAAAATCCATTTATCCTGGGGGAATAGAGTACCTCCTTTCACAATTAAGAAGTCGGACTTAAAGTTCAAATGCCTCATAAGAGGAAAAACCAGTGAGTGACTCAGTTGTCACTAGTTCTCTACTTGTCACCAAGATTGTCCTTGGGAAAGACACAGGAGATCTGTGTCTGAAGTTAGGGTGGAGTCTTCCAGATCAGAAGGAGAGCTTTACAGCAGGGGAAGATAAGGGCTCAAAACTGCTTCAGAAACAGTTACTGTTCAATGAATGTGTGCTGTGCACCAGTTGCCAGGCCATGCAGTTTGCACAGATTGTCACATCCATCAATACCTTGACCCTGGTAGCATTCTATTGGTTTCCTCTTGTACAATAAGGAAGTCAGGGCCCAGAGAGGTAAGTTAACATTCCCAAGGTCGCACAGCTATTCAAAGACAGGGCTGGCTTTGGAACCTAGCTCTCTCTCTTAACCACTAGGCTTTACTGTATTGTGGAAAGATGCATTCACTATATAGCATTCACTGGGGGGAGAAGAGGATGTTTTATTCAGGACTATTTTGGTTGGAGTGATGGAAAAACAACCCAAACTGACTTTAAAAAGGAACTTCTTATTGACTTATATGACTAAAAAGCCCAGAGATAGTGACTTCATGCATAGCTGGACTGCAGGGTAGGCAGGGGTGGTGGTAGTAGGGTTCTGCTTTCTTCACTTTCCTCTGTGTTGGCAGCCTCCCCTTCCTGGTGGCCAGAGAGCCGCCACTACTGCAGGTGTAATCCTCTTCCCTCGGCAACCCTAGGTGACAGGGGGTCTTTCTCCCCATTGGTCCCAGCACATCCTACATCTGTCTCCTATTGGCCCAAATTGGGTTATATGCTCATCCCTGAACCAACACTGTGGCTGTAGTGGGGGCAGGGGAGTGGGGGATTCTGATTCTGATTGTCTTGGGCCTGGGTTACATGTCACCCCTGGAGCTGGCGGTTGGGTTTATCTCCAGCCCAACCATAAGGACTGTGAGAAGTAAAGGATTTGTTCCCAGGGACAGCAGGTGCTGCTGCCAGCAAGAGAAATGTCTGGGCAGGCAGAAAAAGCTGTCCAGCACAGGTGAAGGCCCTTGGGGTCCTTTCTTTCAAGGCTAGACTGAGCATGTGAGGAGACTGTAGGGAGGAGAGTGGTGGGTTGGGTGGGAGAAGAACTAAAGCATTCACCAGCTCTGTTGGCGTGAGGGTCCCGGGAAGAAGTGGCATCAAGGGAAACTTGGTATGACCGTTGGTCTCCCTTTTCCAGGAAAGCTCCAGCCATGGCCATGGGGCTCTTCCGGGTATGTCTAGTGGTGGTGACCGCCATCATCAACCACCCTCTGCTTTTCCCACGGGAGAACGCCACAGTCCCTGAGAATGAGGAGGAGATTATCCGCAAGATGCAGGAGCACCAGGAGAAGCTGCAACTGGAGCAGCTCCGCCTGGAGGAGGAGGTGGCACGGCTGGCGGCCGAGGAGACCCTGGAGCAGGTGGCAGAGGAGGGCCAGGTGCAGAACGAGACCCTCATGGCCTGGGACCTCTGGAGCACCCTCTGCATGATCCTCTTCCTGGTGATCGAGGTGTGGCGGCAGGACCACCAGGATGGGCCCTCACCCGAGTGCCTGGGCGGTGATGAGGACGAGCTGCCTGGGCTGGGGGCCACCCCGCTGCGGGGCCTCACCCTGCCCAACAAGACCACGCTCGGCCACTTTTATGAGCACTGCATCCGGGGGGCCACGGCTGACGCTGCCCGCACCCGGGAGTTTGTTGAAGGCTTTGTGGATGACTTGCTGGAAGCCCTGCGGAGCCTCTGCAACCGGGACACAGACATGGAGGTGGAGGACTTCATTGGTGTGGACAGCATGTACGAGAACTGGCAGGTGGACAGGCCACTGCTGTGCAACCTCTTTGTGCCCTTCACGCCCCCTGAACCCTACCGCTTCCACCCAGAGCTCTGGTGCTCCAGCCGCCCTGTGCCCCTGGATCGCCAGGGCTACAGCCAGATCAAGGTGGTCCGGGCCGATGGGGATGCACTGGGCTGCATCTGTGGCAAGACCAAGCTTGGGGAAGACATGCTGTGTCTCCTCCATGGCAAGAATAATGTGTTGCGGCCTGGCAGCGAGATGGAAGACCTGCTGTGTGCCGGGGATTCCCCGTACCTGGACACGATGCAGGTCATGAGGTGGTTCCAGACGGCCCTCACCAGAGCTTGGCACCGCATCGCCCACAAGTACGAGTTCGACCTGGCCTTTGGCCAGCTGGACACCCCGGGGTCCCTCAAGATCAAGTTCCGCTCAGGGAAGTTCATGCCCTTTAACCTGATTCCCGTGATCCAGTGTGACGACTCAGACCTGTACTTTGTCTCCCACCTTCCCAGGGAGCCATCCATGGGGACCCCGGCCTCCAGCACAGACTGGCTCCTGTCCTTTGCTGTCTACGAGCGACACTTCCTCAGAACAACCTCTAAGGCGCTGCCCGAGGGTGCCTGCCATCTCAGCTGCCTGCAGATTGCCTCCTTTCTGCTCTCCAAACAGAGCCGCCTGACCAGCCCCAGTGGGCTCAGCAACTACCACCTGAAGACGGCCTTACTGCACCTCCTGCTCTCCCGGCGGGCCACCGACTGGAAGGGCAGCCAGCTCGACACCCGTCTGCACGAGTTGCTCTGCTTCCTAGAGAGGAGCCTACTTGAGAAGAAGCTCCATCACTTCTTCATCGGCAACCGCAAGGTACCTGAGGCCATGGGACTGCCTGAGGCCGTGCGCAGGGCTGAGCCTCTCAACCTCTTCCGGCCCTTCGTCCTGCAGCGCACTCTCTACCGGAAGACAGTGGACTCCTTCTACGAGATGCTCAAGAATGCCCCGGCACTCATCAGCGAGTATTCCCTACACGTCCCCTCAGACCACGCCAGCCTGCCCCAAAAAGCTGTCATCTTGTAGAGCATATGGGACCCCAGGGGACCAGGACGAGAGCATCCCCCACGCTTGCACCTGGGAGCATCTGCAAGCCCTGTCCTGGGAACATGGATGTCTTTGTTGGGAGCTGTGGCTTAGCCTGCCAGGAAACCAGGTCTACGGTGTGGAGGGAACAGAATTCCCACTGGAAGCTGGTTTGCTTTCGTGCCATTGGGGACTGTTGGTAAAGCTGTTGTTTGGTTTTGGAGACTGATTTTCTGCAGCTTCCTTTTGGATCACCACAATGGCCAGGATGATGGCAGAACACTCTGGACACTGAGTTAGAGAAGATGCAAACACTGACTTGGGTGTAATACTTTTTGCATCCTAGGCCCAGTCCGTACTTGAACAACAGCAGCGTATCTACAAGAACGCCAACACTGACCCACATTAAGACCCAGGAACGCTTGGCCTCAGCCATTTGCAGCCAAAGCACTCACAGAGACAGAGGTGGGAATCCACATCCTGCACAATGATAGGGGTCCCACTGTGGCTGCCACTTTTTTTATTCTATTTGGAGAAAAGACCTGGTAGAGACTCAAGGCCCCAGGTGGTTAATGTCTCTGTCACATGGAAATCGGTACTTGGTGGCAAACTTAAAGTGGGCCACTGTTCCAGCTGTCCTTCTTACCCAGGTGCACCCTCTCCCTTGTGCCTTGCCCAGTGTGCCGTGTCCCGAGCACTGTGGGTGCCATTCACCATGCTCAGCGGCCCCTCTTCTCTCTTTACTATCTCTGACCATCAGTGTGGTAGGGGGAGGACAAATGCTGAAGGTGGAAGCCGATCTACAGAAAGAGAGGCACAGGGTGACTATGGCAAGGGGCATAGCCTGGTGCCCAGGGTGCTGGGGTCTGGTTGTCAGTCTGGCCCAGTTCAGAGAAAGTTGCAGAGCCTGGGAGCTGGCCTCCATCTCCAGACCTGGTTCAGGAGGGTCAGGAAGCCTCTTCCTCTCCACTTGTGGTTTCACCGACCCTTTGAGATTTTCTCTCTCAGCGTTGCCTCAGCAGCCCTTGCAGAGGGCCGAGGAGGAAGTGGGAACAAGGAGCCAGACTGCACCTATTTCTTTCTCCAGGGTTTAAGCCAGCCTGCCTCCCAGACAGAGTAACCAATTCCACAGGGGTGCCAAGGCTAGCCATGAACTGAAGAAAGGAGCTCCTTCCTCTGCCCCCAAGAGAGCTCTCAGCTATCTTCAGAAAGCTGGAGAAGATGGACTGTTTGCCTGCCAGGGTTAGTCATGGTGGGGAGGCCTGTAGGAAGTTGTCCTGTGTGAGCTGGGGTTGGACTGAGCATGCACTAGGGTCTTCCCCTCCTCAGCCTCAAGCGGCCAGCAGGCACTCCCAGGAACGAACCTGCTGAAGTGTGTCTCTAACAGCAGCCCTGGGTCACCCCATTCTGTCTGGATGCATTTCCATATTCAGGGCAAATTTCCTTATTTATTATCACCCATGGCTTTCCCCTCTTCATCCTGATCCTATTGTGCTTTGAAGAGACCCCAGCAACCAAGAACCAGCCTCCAAAAGCCAAGACCAAACCTGGATCTCCTTGGCTTCCCCTTTGCTTTCGGAAGAAAGTTCACAAAAAAATACCTTCTGGCTTCTTGTTTATACAGAGACAACTGAACCCGGTGGGGAAACAGGGATCTTTTATGCACCAAAGCTGCTTCTGATGCAGAGAGCAAGTGGGGCTCTTGGTGTTTCATGCTGCCTTATTTATATTAAAGGAAGAATTAAATTTTGTGAGGAATACAAACAGTCACCGTGTTTGTTTTTAACCAGGAAATCTGTGAGGCTCCCAAGGCAGAGTTGGGGGCATGCAGGGGGTGGTGGATTTCCTTACAACAAGCAGAAGCTTTCACTCTCCATTTATTCTTACTCTTTCTGGAAACTTGAAAAAATAACAAAATAGAACATTTCTAGCCTGTCTTTGAGGCAGCTTGTGCACTACCTGCAGAGTTCCAGAAAGTGCCTTTGAAAGCCAGCTTCAGGGTTGATTCCAGCACCAGACCTTATTTCACAGATCTGATGTGTGTTAAGAAATGTAGGAGCTGGAAGTAACAGGAAGCTTTTGGTTTTTGAAGAGATTGTCTTTTAAATGGAGGAGTTGTAATCTTCTAGGGCACTTTGATATTCCTACTAAGGACATCCCCTGCCCTCTTTGTCCAAGGAGTCTCTTTTCCTTCCCAAGGATGCTTGACTTTACCCGGCATCTGCTCAAGTGCTGTGCTAAATGCTCCAGGACTGCATTCGCTTCACATCTTGACAAGCGTGAAATGAGTAGGGCCAGCCCAAGGCCAACAGGTGGGTTAGGTTAGGGAGGGCCCTACATCCTCAAAAGCCCCAGCCCCTCTTCATGCCTTGCTGAAGCACAGCCCAGGTTGAGAACCTGGGACTGGCACTTTGGTTTATAATCAAGATTGTCATCAGAATCACCCAGAGCTTGGCCAATTGCCCAGACCCCACCTTGAACCTATGTGGTGCCCACAATCCAGTCGAGTGGCCAGGTAAGGCTTCCCCCAAGTGACCGATGGCACCCTTAGCTGAGGAAGCCTTCTCACTTCCTTTCCAAATGGAAAGTTAAAAAAAATCAAATGGACTTCTTTCCCTACAGAGCTATTAGAAGGTAGACCTGGGAGAAGCCAGCAAGCCTGCTTGGGATCCATGGTCCAAGTGGCATTGACTATACCAAAAGCACCTACACTCATACTAGTGACATGAGAAGCAGAGATTGGATGAGGGAGGCAAAAGATGGTGAGCACTTCTTCCTAGCAGGTCAGGACTAGTCCACAAGCATTTATCAGGAGCCTAATGTGCACGAGGCATTGTGGAAAATAGAACAATGAATAGGGCCAGGCTGTACCCTAGGAGAGACATCGTAAGGTGGCCTTCCAAGTACTTGCCTGTGAAAAGCACCATGAGAAAGATCAAGACACAGTGCTGGCGAGATTAAAGAAGATCATTTAAGGCCCGTTTCTCCAGGGGTGACCCTGCACTACACATATGGGTATCACCTGTAGGTTCCTGGGCCATAGACCAGGGGAATCTCTAGAAGTTGGGTACAAGAATCTGCATTTCACCAAGTTCTGCAGATGATTCTGGAAGTCCAAGAACCACTGATACCTGGGGTGATTCGGGAAGCCTCTGAAAGATGGGTAGGATCATGACCAGGAGAAGCACTCCAGCCAGAACAAGGTAGTGAGGGTGGGAAAGCATAACTGAGGCGGGCAAAGCTGAGGCAGCACCTACTGTGTGCCAGGTGCCCTTCTATGCATGCTTACAAACGTTAACTCACATAATTCCATGTCAGACCTATGAGGTGGGTGCAGTTATTACCCTCCCCATTTCCAGATGAGGAAACAGGCACAGAAGGGTTAAGTGACTTGTCTAAGGTCACACTGGTAAGCAGCAGAGGCGGGATTCCAACCTGGGCAGTGCTGGTATATACTGGAAAATCATGACAAGGTTGAAAAGTGTCTTAGTTCGTTTCTGCAGGTGTGACTGAATATCACTGCGTAATTTATAAAGAATAGAGGGTTTTATTCAGCTCACGGTTCTGCAGGCTGGGAAGCCCAAGAGCATGGTGCTGGCACCTGGTGAGGGCCTTCCTGCTGTGTCATTACGTGACGGAGAGCACACGGCAAGACAGAGCAAGTGTGCCCGCTCACATCTGCCTTCCTCTGCTTATGAAGCCACCGGTCCCATCCTGAAGGCCCTGCCCTGATGACCTAATCTAATCCTAATCACCTCCCAAAGGCCCCACCTCCAAACAACATAGGAATTGGGGGATTAAGTTTTCAACACATGAAATCTGGAGGACAGATTCAAACCATAGCAAAAATGTAGAGTGGGGCTGAACCACAGAAAGCCTTGGGCGCTAGTCTGAGGTAAATCTGGACTTCATGCAACGAGCAGTGGTAAGCCACTGGCTGTTTTTGAGTGAGACAGTAACTTGACTCACCCCCAAACTATGGAGTCCTTACCTGTGTGATCAGCACCATGTTGGGTCTGTGGGATAGACGGCCAGCTTCCAGAGCAGGGCTGGTGGCAACTGTGGCAGTGGTCAGTGAATGTTCAGGAAGTCCTAAACGCAAGTCTCTCTAGAGCTGTGATTCAGAACATTCTCACGATCTGTCTAGTCTCCACCTCGTGGGACGGAGCTGGAAGGCTGTTTGGGTTGGCCAGCAACCCAAAAGCAGATGGAGCCAAGAACCACAGCAGCGGGCAGCATGTGCCTTCAGCTCCCCGGGTCCTGTCCCACTTGGCCCTCCACCCTGCCCCGCCCCCACGTCCCCCCCAGGAGAGGCGTCTTTTAGCATTAACTTTTCTCCTTGTCATCCAAAGATAGCTTTTTTTTAAAACTAATTTGTTGGGTTTTTTTCTCAAAAATATAAACAATATTCAAGATAAAAAAATTCAATCACTGACAAAAAAAATTAAATAACAGATAAAAGTTCCCACTTCTGACTTCTCAGGCCACTCCGTAGAGATAACCAACATTGAGTTTCTTGTGTATCTCTCCAGAATTTTTCTACATATACCATGTGTGCATATGCCTCCCTTTTGTTCTTTTTTACGTAAATGGCACCACACCATCTAACTTTTCCTGGATATCTTTTTTGAACATTTGGCTCTACCTTATTCTCTAAAATAGCTGCTTACCATCCCACTGCATTTATGCACATACCATAATTTACCCAGCCTCCCCTGCTGAAGAACACTTAAGTTGTCTCCACTTTTTTGCTATTATAAGCAATACTACAGTGAACATCTCTGTGCACAAAGCCTGTTTTGAAGTGATCCTTCCTTTCCCGGTAATCACTATATACTGTGCTTAACAACTTGCTATATGTGGATGGATTCACCACCAAGCACCTAGCCATAAAAAGAAACTATTGCCTCGGATTTGTTCAGTCATCATGACTCACGAGTGTGGAAAAGGCATCTAACCAAGTACTAGCAACATGTGCTCTGCCTGGGTCAGGCTCTGTGGCGAACCAAAGCATCAGACAAGGACTGTTCCCCAAGGAGCTGGGTCTGTTAGGAAGACAAGACTAATGGCT